ATTTACAAAATAATTTTCTATAGTCCCCCCATAAAATGTTGATAAAAATTAACAAAGTATTTGATCCAAAACTGAAAGCAATATCTGAAACTGTCTGTATGATCCAAAATAATGATGAAGTTTACTGAAAATTTTACAAAATGCGAAAATATTTGTACTGAATTTTGAACGGGAATTTCTGTCTCTCAAACAACTGAAGACATTCCGTGAAACGTCATGTCATGTCTACAGATATTTCTCAGAAATTGCCTCTCACCAAATCATAGCAGTTTCTAGTATGCTATGTGACACACCAGCTGGCCAATACACTGTTGGCCATTGACTAGTTTGTTTCCGCAACAACAAAAGCGCGCACTTGTACACATATATATATTTACCTATTCTATATTTACAGTGTTTTGATTGACATATGTTACCATTGATACTACTGCTGATGGTTAAGTTAAAAATGGAAAAAAAAAAAAATCCTCTGCTGCTGAAAATTATTTACAAAAAGTTACTGTATCAAACTCTTCATTATTAACATTTACAATCACGATCACTCGTAAAATAATTCTAAAACACTCCTGGCGTGCTATACTTGAGTATTCAAACATGGGAAATTGAATACTGTACTAATATCAGTTATTATGAATGGTTGAATGGATTTGTAATATGTACATCAGGTGTTTGTGAGAATGTAAACGCTGAATATACAGCAGTATCAAATCCATCAATCTGACACTCTTATCAGTGATTCTCGTAAATAAATGCCACTTGATTGACCACTTCACAGTTTTGTTGTCACCGTATTGCTGTAAAATCACACCCAGCAGACTTTGTTTGATAAAGTTTACATTCCTCTATGTGGGCGACATAGTTTATTATAATCGTAAATACCAATTTTTTTTTTATACTAGTAATATCCAAATAGACTAATAGTCAAACTGTACATACATGTAGTGACAACATCGTTATTTCAGCGGTAGCATTTGCTAATCACTTCAATGTTTGTTGAATGCATACGTGTATATATTGGTGCTACATGTGCATGAGTGTGTAGGTAAATTCTGTATTAGAAGCTGGATTCTTAATAGAACCCACCCATTCATTTTGAACAATTGAGAACTAAAAATTCTAAGTTTTTTATACATGTGTGTGTAGATGCTCTGATAGAAGCGGCATCCCTTCTGTTGCATTCTTCCATTTTAACAGAAGCCACAGTGGCGAGTACAGATTTTACAGTTGTTTTTTGTTTGTTTTTTTGTTTTATTTTACTGAATCATTATGTAATGTTTGTTGTGGTACTGTATTGTATTTTTCCGTGATTTCAAAGTGACATGCATGTGCATAGCGGGGTCTCGCACATCATCGAATGTTAACATAAAACTCCAGCTGGAAGCCTCTATGGATAGCCAAAATGAATGGGGAAAAAAACGAACATCAGCAAGCGTTGTGGCAATGTATTGATTGGCAGTCAGTATTTATAGATCTGTTAAAAGTCAATTGTGTCTTCACAGGCAAGCTAGTAAAATTTATGCATTTGTTCTAATTATGTGTCATGTTTGATTTTTTGGCGACTATAAAGTAATTCTTATGACCCGTCAGCAATGTTTTTGATTTTTGTGTTTGTGTTCATGGAAAGTTTTTCTTGCATAATTAAAGAAGTTTCCAGTATTGACATTTTAGAAACTCTATTTTTATTGTCAAATAAGAAAATACAAATCCCATTCAACCTTGTTCTGGCACTAGGAAATAGCGCCCTTAACATGTTTTACAAATAAAATACCATAGTTTCAATTTCTCCACCATTCTTATTGCTATTTTTTCTGTCTTCACAGGCTTACTATCGACAGGGTCTCGCTTTACAACATCTGGGACGCCATGCAGATTCCTTGGCTGCGTTCTCCTCGGGACTCTCGCAAGATCCGAAGAGTTTACAGCTGTTGGAGGGTTTGGTGGACGCGGCAATAAAGTCTCCGCTCAAAGCCACCTTGGAGCCGACGTACAAACAGCTGGAAAAAATGAAACTGGAAAAAAGTCCGTTTGTTGTGATTTCTGTCATTGGTCAAGAGCTCTTAGCAGCGGGATACCATGGGTCATCTTTAACTGTCTTGGAATCTGCCCTCAAAATCGGTAAGTTGATCATTCATCCCTCTTCCTCATCTTTATTCTACCTTCTGTTTTTCTGAACTACTAATAAGTAAATCACTTTCACGTTCTCAACTTCTACAAAATAGTGTTTGTGCATATTAATTAGATAATTTGCATATCATCAACCCTTTGACGTTCATTTGTTATTTTGTCACCTTCCACAATATATTCTCATTCAACCCATTGAGTGAGTAATTTTGGATCAGGTATGTTGTAGACATATTTTCTCGTTGGCTACAGGTCTTGATCGAGATTTGGGAGGAAAAATTGTTATGAAAAGTAACAAGCATTCAAAGAGTATAAAAGATGGCAATAAAAATTCAAAAGCTTTCTACTAAATTCTATTAATTTTATCTTATTTTGCTTGTTTGTTTCCAAAATTACAATGAATTTAGTAAAAATTAAAGAAATTTGACACCAAAGACCAAATAAAATGTGACCTTGTTTCCATATAATAATGTTAAATACTACTCTGGCGGCCATTTTGAATTGAAAATTCAATACAACTGAAGTTCATAATTCAAAGACATTATCATAAGTTTGTTAATTTCAAATACCATATTTTGTTTATGTGTCTACGTGAATACAACAAAGGCAATTTAGGTTTATATGCACCTCTATTGGAGGTGCGTTTCTGAAAGAGAAAAAACAGGAACCAGTGACAAGAAATAACTTCAGAAAGTATTAAGAAATTCCAGTGTTTTACATGTAGCCACAACTAACCCTATACTGGTATTTAAATAAGTGATAGACGCGCATCAAACGTCTGCCGCATAAATCGAACGATTTGATTTTGAACTCAAATTTCTTTATTGCGTAGCTCACATTGACTGGTGGATCTTTGACAGAGGAATATTGCTTCCGAATACCCTCACTTAATCAAAATTGCCTATCATCAAATGTGGACAGCACATTATTAAGCATGGAAATGTCCCCGAAATACTTTCGCGTTTGTCGAATCCCGCGCGATGTTTGACGCCACTACGATCTTTGTGTGTCCTGTTTGTACGTTCGATTTCAGGCATAACGAGTGATTCTCGCAGTGAACGGAAAATGGTCTATTTACACTCACTCTAATACATTGGTTCTCGTTTTTTTTTTTGCAGGTACCTGCAGTTTAAAGCTGAGAGGATCTGTATTTTCTGCTCTAAGCAGTGCACACTGGGGACTCGGCAATATAGACAAGGCCATATCATACATGCAGCAAGACCTTTCGGTAGCGAAATCGTTAGGTGAGATTTAGAAAGTGAAGTTGATAAACATAGAAATCTTACTCTAGAAAACTTAAGAGTTGTAGACTATTCACTCTCATGTGTCAAAGTGTATCAATACACGAGTTCTGAGTCAATGTATACTTCCACACTTGACTTTTTAATTGAAATAGTTTAAGTGTTAAAATTCCGTATATATTTAAATATTCCATACAGTTTCATTGCAAGCATGCATGCATGTCAGGAAAGAAAAAATTGTCTAAATTATTGAAAACAAGTTTGAGAGAAAAATGTTATATTTTTAAAATAAAAAACTGAATTTTAATTCTCTTCCTCTACAGGTGACAATGAAGGAGAGTGTAGAGCCCACGGTAATCTTGGGTCGGCGTACTTTTCAAAGGCTAACTTCAAAGAAGCTCTCGCACACAATCGATTTCAGTTGGTTTTAGCCATGAAACAAAAAGACAGAAAAGTAGCTGCCAACGCACTGAGTAGTCTCGGTAAGAATCAAATCTTTTCATGTTTCGATTATATCGTGCCAAGAAACTCAAGTTTCTTCTGTACGTCGATAAATGGGTATATGCGTGATTGGGTGATTGAATATATTAAAATGTTAACAATAATACCCCCCTCCCCCCTTCCCAATTGACATTCCTATGTGTACTTATCTCTGACTTAACAATTTTAGTAGATTAAGATTAATAGTACTATTGTCACGATGTTGATAATTCACCAGTCTACTTTGCACCTCGCAATCAAATGTTTCATTTGAGCGATATTTCAACTCCTTGTGTTTTCGAAGTGGTGCGTTATAGAAACGGCAAACTTTGGATTTTAATCGTATTTATAGGGGTTGTTATCGGTGCTTCCTCAGGTACTTCAACGAATTGCTTTAATTGTTTGTTCAGGGGTTTGATATATTTAAAATGGGTGTGATTTATTTAATGGTGTTTTTGTTTTGTCTTGTTCTTTACAGGTCATGTGTACTCGGCAATAGGGGACTACCCTAATGCCTTGGCTAGTCACAAGCAGTGTGTGGTACTCACAAGGCAGCTGAACGACAAGCTTTTCGAAGCTCGAGAAATTGGCAACGTCGGAGCGGTGTATTTGTCAATGGGGGACTTTGATAATGCCCTTGAATGCCACAAGCAGCACCTGGCCGTCGCCAAGGAACTGCAAAATAAAAACGAGGAGGCAAGAGCGTATAGCAATTTAGGTAGTGCGTACCATTTTAAAAGGAAATTTCAACATGCTGTGCAGTACCATACCCAAGTCTTGCAGATCGCTAAAGAGTTAGAAGACAGGACGGTGGAAGCGCGTGCATATGCCGGGCTGGGACACGCTGCCAGATGTATGGGTGACTTGGAACGTGCCAAGCATTGCCATGAACAGCAACTGAACATTGGGCTCAGTACGAAAGACAAAGTTATGGAAGGACGGGCATGCTCGAATTTAGGAATTATATATCAGCAGCAGGGACAGTATGATACGGCGCTCAAGTTACACAAAGCCCATTTGACAATTGTCCATGAACTTGAGGATCGTCCCGGGCAAGGGCGAGCATTTGGAAATATGGGAAACGCTTACAGCGCCCTCGGGCAATTTGAGGAGGCTGTCAAATATCATAAACAGGAATTGGCGATCTCAAAGGAGGTTGATGATCGGTCGTCGGAAGCATGCACGCAGGGAAACCTCGCCATTGCGTATCAGTCGCTGGGCTTTCGCGATAAAGCCTTGGAACACTACCACTGCCATCTGTCGGTTGCGCGAGAACTCAAGGACAAACCCAGTGAAGCCCGTGCCTTAAGTAACTTAGGAAATTTCTACAGTGCACAAGGAGAGTTTTCTAACTCGGTGCCGTATTATGAACAGTTTCTCGCACTTTGTAAAGATATGTGTGACACAGAGGGTGAAGGGCGCGCATATCACTACCTTGGGTATGCGCATTATTCACTTGGCACTTTCAAGGATGCTGTTCATTTTTATGAACAAGATCTTGCCCTTGCCCGGAAGATGCAGGACAAAGTGTCCATGGGAAGGGCTTATTGTAATCTTGGGCTTGCCCACAAGACACTGGGAAATTACGACGAGGCGTTTGACTGCCAAAAGTTTTTCCTCACTGTTGCCCATCAGTTGAAAAACACGCCGGGGAAGTTTCGTGCCATGGGGAATTTAGGCGATATATGCATGGCTAAAAATGAGGTCAACAATGCTATTAAATTTTATGAGCAGCAGTTGGTTCTTGCGACGAACGTTCGGAATAAGAATTTGGAAGCGACTGCATATGGCATGCTCGGTTCTGCTCATCGGAAGGTCGGGAAACTTGACCAAGCACTGACTTATCACACGCAGGAATTGAAAATGTTTAAGGAGTTGAATAATTTGAAGGGGACGTGTAAAGCTCATGGACACTTAGGAGCAGTGTATACGTCCCTCGCGAAATTTACAGAGGCCTACATGTGTTACGAGGATCAGTTGGAGACAAGTCAGGAACTGAAAGAGACGCTTACCGAGGCACAGGCATTTGGAAACCTTGGAATTACCAAGATGAATATGGGAAACTTTGAAGATGCTCTGGGGCATTTTGAACAGCAGCTGGCAACATTGGAACAAGTAACCAATCAAAATGGTGTGGTTGATAGGGGCCGCGCTTACGGCAATATGGGAGAATGTTATGAAGCTCTATGTGATTTTGATGAAGCTGTGAAAAACTATGAACAGTGTCTTGTCATTGCACAGAAAACGAACAACGCTAACGATCAGGATCGTGCTTACCGCGGTCTTGGGAACGCCCACCGAGCTATGGGAAACCTACAGCAAGCTTTAGTGTGTTTCGAGAAGCGGCTCGTTGTCGCTCATGAGTTGAACAATGTATCCGCCAAGGGCTCAGCCTATGGAGAATTAGGGTGTCTTCATAGTTTACTGGGTAATTTTGAACAAGCGATATCATGCCTCGAACATCAGTTGAAAATTGCGCAGGAAATGCGAGACAGGGGTGGGGAAGCTGACGCCGCGTGTGGATTAGGCGGTGTTTACCAGCAGATGGGTGAGTATGATAAAGCTGTGCAGTATCACCAGATGGACTTGACAATTGCAGAGGACATGAACAATCCTTCATGCCAAGGACGTGCTTACGGTAATCTGGGAGTTACTCACGAGTCGCTTGGGAATTATGAACAAGCAATACTTTATCAAGAACAGCACTTGAGCATTGCCGCTCAGATGAACGACCGAGTTGCTAAGACACTCGCATACAGCAGCTTGGGGCGGATTCACCATGCATTGGCCAACTATCCACAGGCTGTGACTTATTTACAACAAGGATTACACATTGCTGATCAGCTCGGACGAAAAGAGGACGAAGCCAAGATCCGTCATCGGCTCGGACTTGCCTTGTGGGCAAACGGAAGTCTGGAGGATTCGCAACACCAGTTGTACAAAGCCGCTGAGTTGTTTGAAAACATTCGCCGGGAGTTACAATTCAGCAACGATTACCGACTCAACCTGTTTGATCTTCAAACTGCATCGTACCAAGCATTACAGCGAGTTCTTGTGGAGCTCGGTAGACACAATGAAGCCTTGGCTGTGGCAGAGCGAGGCAGGACTAGAGCTTTTGTGGATTTGTTAATGGAGCGGCAGACAGGAAAGTCTGATAACCTGTCTGATGCCATGGACAGTATGTTGATGACCACGGATCAGATCGTAGAGGCTGTTAAGAAACAATCCTCTACGGTGATTTATTATTCCATTGCAGCTGGCCATCTATATATGTGGATTATCACTCCTAAGCAAGGTTAGTTTTTTTTACAGATATTATTTCTTCTTCATCCATTTAGGAATATTTTGAAATTTTCATGAAACATTATGATTTTAGTTGGTGATGGCTTACAACAGATGGCAAAATTTCTGGCTTCTTTTGCCTTTGGTAATCAACCTAATTTTAGTCACATGTTAAATACAGTCTCCAAAGTGAAACTATGATTTTGTTGTCAGTTTCATAAATCAGTGGCATGTTAGCATAAATCTGTAATTTTTAATACAATTTATATTCTAATGTACAAATACATGCATTGTAGTAAATTTCTTCGAGGTTATTTCGAGAATACGTCATTTGAAAAAAACGACAACACTGAGAGATAGTCAGATAAATTGATATTTTCTGTTAAAGCTTTTGAGCAATTTATTAGATACTCGGATACAAAATGTAACAAATTCATGTGGAACCCATTATTCCCACATACACGTACATGCATCTTGTAAATAAATGGTACTTGATCTACAGAAATATTTGATTTAATTATGTAACCTTCGATCGCATTAATCTACATTTTTATAAAAAAAAAAAAAATGATGGATTGAACAGACAATTGAGTCCTCACCACACTACATAACAGTTTCCATCTACTGTAAAATCATTTATTTTCACTATCTTAATTTCACAAGGAAGCAAGTTTTATTGTTATTTTACATGTTCACATTTTACTTACTTGTATCAGCGAAAATAGCGAAATTAAAACCCAGTGAATAATTGATTTACAATACAACATATATTTTGTATTTCGATCGTTGAAAAACTAACAAACATTGAACGCAGTATTGTATCGAGATCTAAAAATACACATTAGTGTGATCAAAACAACTGATTTATGAATTAAATTGAGATGTCATGCGTGGTATTGTAAGGGGTGTGAACAGTAAACTGTGTAATCATTGTTTTTCACCTCCCACATCCTCCCTCAGGGTGGTAACTCTGAGTTATTGACTAAGGTCCTGTCTGAAAATCAACACAAACAACCACAGTGCTCAGACAACTGTGTAACAATAACACAATAACGCTGTAATTGTATTTACTTTAGCTGCCTCTCTCTCTGTACTATTGTACAGTACGTCTTAAATGCCTCCCTTTCAGCATACAGTATTCTTCCGTAATGGTTTGATGGAATATTTTCCACATTTTTATGTATTTTTTCATTTTTTTTGACCAAATAGTTTGGCTACATGGTCATGGAAAACATTATAAAGGATTATTTGACCTTCAAAAAATTACTTTACTGTCTTGACAATTTTTCTGAAAACGTCTATCGTCATGGTGATGGACTCATCATGGTGCAAACGACTATTCAGTATGGTTGCTTCGATGACAACTCTGAGGCATCATGAAACTCTAATAAAATTCTGGAAACTCGGTCACAAGCGGATCAATGCAGTGCTCAGTAATTTGCAACACAAATTACTCAAGACTACAAATTATTGTTTGCCGATACTGAGAAATCTAATAATCATAGTCTGAACTTTCATTTGAAAGCATTAACTTGATCTGAATTACATGTCAAAGATACTTTAAATACAGTACTTGAGATCACAAGGTCAGATTAGTTCAAAGTTCACATCAACTGTATAGAAACTAAGGAGTTCAGAGCCCTTATTTCTTGAATTTATAGAGCTAGTGTTTATTTGAATTATTGTGTGCTATGATAAATGAAGAGTTTTTCTTTTGTTTCTAATAGGTGTTGTCAAGTTCAATGAATGTCATCTCAGTGATCTTGAACTTGACAGTGAAGGTGCCCCAGACAGCTCATCATCATCAGAGAGCAACACCTCGATGAACACCATTATGAACTCTACTACCTCAACTCAACTTGACCAGTATATTCAGTATGCGCGTGACAGTCTTGGTGTAGATGTCTCCCCTGTACTGGGTAGGGGTGAGATCGCGAGCGAGACGGAAAGTGAGGCTGACGACATATTACAGCAGCACCTGGATGAGATCAGCCGCAAGATAAGTGCCGAAAGCGGGGAAAGTAATGATGCCGTTCAGCGCAGTCACGTACTCAGCGGCAGTTCTCACAGTCTCAACAGTTTGTTCAGTCAATTAAGCGGCAGTATGAGTTTCAACGGAAGCGTCTTCGGTGGCTTAGGCTATGGCGGTAGGGATACAGTGAGGCGACGGAGAGTGTGGTCGGGAAAACCTCCTTTAAAAACTCTCTATGACCTTTTGATAGGACCTCTTGAAGATGCTTTACCAAAACAGAATGGTCCAGATACACCACCAAGAGAACTCATCCTAGTTTTACAAGGTAAGTACATTACTTTTACGGACTTTACTCCACCCACAAATAATGCTTCTGGTTGCCGTGTGCAACAGAATTTAAAAAAAGTAAAACTAGTTTTAAAATAAGTATTCTTGAAAAATCATAAATTTATGACAATTTCTGAATGAAAATAGAGAACCATTCAAGCATGTTAATTTTCGAAAAGAAATTGACCAGAAATTTGTTTTGGTCAAATTTTTGTGTAGTGTGATGATGTCAGAATTGATCTAAGTAATGATAGTTTTTGACATAGATATGAAATGTATGTGAAAATGTCCAAACAAATATAAAAGCACACTCTTAACAAACGCTCACAATGTCCTGGGATTAAGTGTATATTTTACTCTTTAAGTGCTTAGACAATCGTACGTAGATTAACTCCATAAATACCTAATCTGGGATAATTATCTTAAAGCGGGGGAGTCGTCACCTGCGCATGCGTCAGATGGCCATAGCATGTCATTGTTTACAAACAAACGTCTACCCATGAGCTTTTACGTCGTTTGGGAGTCAATTCCTGCGTGAGCGCAGGGGACGACCCTCTCGCTTTAAAATTTGTATTTCACATAACCACGGTATTAAGTATTGCAACTCTGCCATAGAGGGCACTATCACATAAATGATCAGTTCATAAATAACCCCACTGTCTTTTTCTAAACTGTTACTTTCGTTATCCGCAGGTGACCTTCACTTAGTGCCATTCGGCGTCCTGAAAGGGTCATCGAGCCAAGCCTGCCTCTTTGAAAGATTCAAATTGAGGGTTGTGCCGTCGCTAAGAGCGTTGAACGCCAGCATCAAGACTAACCAACAACAGACGTACAGTTCTAGCACTCTCCCCGCATTGATCATAGGCAATCCAAAGTTACCGCAGTCGGCCAAGCAGAGATGGGGTTGGGGTAGTTTGGTGAATGCAGAGCAGGTGAGCGTCAAATCATAAGTCATTATGTATTTATACGTTTTGTATATGTACATATTCTCTGCGGCGGACATCCGGGTATTTTCACCGTCTGGCAACCATCACGGTGAAAACAAAGGCCGAAAACTCCCAGAAAACAGTACTTTGGAATGGTTGTTGAGACTCCCCTGAACAGTGTAACAAGATCACCCCAGCATGTCCAACATATATAAATTTGGTTGTCCAGGATTACTTCAAAGTTGATTTTATGCTGTTCCACACCACCTCGCACAGTGGTGCGCGTCTTTGGAACGTCTTGTGACATAGCTCCACCCCGGATGATACCAAACATGAATATTAACCTTTTCACCACCATTCCCCTCTTTTTATCACAAATTCACAAAATAGTCCTATTTTTAGTCTGCACTTCCCTTCAGTAGATTTATAGTAAAAACTAAAAAACTGATCCAAATTTTGTCTGTTAGATCCAAAATTAGGGTTTATTTCCAAAAATATTGAAGAATTTTGGAAAAAAGTGTAGACAAATTTAAGCAAGATACATTCAAGTCTGGTGGTGATAAGTTCAGGTCACTTTGAACTTGAACTTGGAAGTCATATTTTGTTTTTTTATAACATTGAAGCACATTTTATAATAATATCCTAGCAATACTGTATTTTCTATGATACCAAAAATTAAAAAAAAAATTGTTTATGCACCTGTACTCTCTGGAAACTAACTTCATATGTTTTTATTTTGTTGCACAGGAAGCAAGGATTGTTGGTGATATCGTCGGTATTAAGCCACTGATTGGTAGTGCTGCCACAAAGGAAATGGTCCTGAAAACCATCTGCCAGGCTGAATGCATTCACTTTGCAACACACATATCTTGGAAACTATCTGCTATTATCCTGTCACCCAGTGAATACACTATGCCGAGCAAAGGGTCGTCTCGTATGCACAGGTACAATTGTTTTACAACTTGTGTTGTTAGTTCTCAATGAATTATAAGAGCCAAATGTTCATAATTTCGTAACGTGGGGACATATCGCCTAAATACTGTAGTTGTGAAGATTTGATTCAAGGAATTTTGTCTTTTTGAAGCTACTTTAAAATTTGGAAAACTTGAATGGGTCACAGTAGACTGCCCATTACACTGTTAGCACATTATTGGGCAGGTACAAATTGTGGAACCAGAGCAAACCAGACTAAACCAGATTGATGAACATCTTATATCGGTTTTCTTGCAGTGAATCACATGGTATGGCTGAACGAATGGAATTCAATGAAAGTGACGAGAGTGATCTTGACAGTAACTCGGACATGCCCGCATTGAACGAGTTCTTACTCACTGCCGCCGATATCCTCAATCTGGAACTGTCGGCTAAACTGGTCGTCCTCAGTGCGCATAATCATGATCTAAGAATCGGACAGATAACCTCTGATGGACTTATCGGGCTGGTGAGAGCATTTTTGACAGCCGGTGCTCAGGCTGTTGTGGTGCCGCTATGGCCCGTCAAGGAAGTCTCTTCTAAGCTGCTGATGCGAGAGTTCTACACACATCTGTTACAAGGCACGGTTACGAGTTACGCTTTGAATGAAGCCATGCGTAGCGTTCACGCCGTGAAGCAGTATAGTCATCCCGCGAACTGGGCCGGGTTTATGGTGATTGGTGGCGATGTCAAACTTAGCAATAAAACCATGATGTTTGGTAATGCCCTTGGTGAAGTTCTATCAACGCCGACGAAATGTAGGGAAGCTATGCGAGTGTTACTTCACTTGGTAAGTACTTTTTTGCATTAAAAATGTCTCTGGTAAACCTGTCTACTCTAAATTCATTAACTATTCTTGCTGATAAGTGGAATCATCCAAATTAAATCTATAGAATTTTAATGGAACTCATTGTTTCACTGAAAAATCTGTGAATTTAAAATAAACCAAAACCATAAATGTTACATAGGTTAAGGAATTACTTCAGAGTAATTTTTGTGCTTTCCTCTTTAGTGTATTACTGCAATTCTTGTTTAGTTGTTGTTTTCATATTAGTTGAGAAATCCCTCATCAATTCCTTCTATTTTCACACGCGCACACTCACACGCACTTTGTTTGACACGTAGGTTGAGAAATCACTACAGAGGATTCACCGTGGACAGAGAAATCCCATGTACACAACGCAACAAAGTATCATGAAGAAAGTTGGTCCGGTCAGCGGTTGGAGAGAACTCCTCCTCTCGGTTGGGTTCAAGTTTGAAGCGACCTCCAAAGACATTCCGGCATCGGTGTTTTTCCCGCAGGCTGATCCAGGTGAACGACTGATGAAAGCCAGCGCCAGTCTGCAGGCTTTGCTCGGTAGGTCCATCGTCTTGATTAAAGTTGCATTCTGTGATCATTTCTAAAGCTGTATGACCTGAATTTGTGTTTAATAATGGATATTCCACTCACTGCAAGATCACGTGAAATACCCTGACAACGGTTGCCAGCCACATGACACAGGTCAAGCTTTGGTTCAAAATGGCGTCCTAGCATAACGTTGTGTGTTGTCCTAATTTCCACGCTTGCGATAGATTTTCTAAAGTTCAAATGATTGTCAGTTATAGTTTTGGCTACAAATTTGTTTGTTTGAATTTCATGAACTAACTAATGTTTTTAATTAGTGTGGGCCTCAATTCAAAACAAAAATGAATTCTCAGAGTGAAACTTTGTCACATAATAATTTAGAACCCCAATGAAACATTAGTAATGCTGCTTTAAGTTTTAGCAGATACTTAACAATTTATTTCAGTACTTTGACTAGCTTCTGACGACTTGCATCTAAACATGAATTTTTTTCAAATTTTTTATTGCTATAAAAAACCTTTAGTTGCAAATCGCTTTAGAATCTTGCTAAGAGCAATGTAAGTTGTTTTTTCTCCTCAAATAGTATTCCATTCTCTGTCGCCAGTCAGAGCCACTGATTAACAACGGTCAGCTGACAGATAGGTGCCACAAGACAAAAGAATAGAACACTGTTTGGTGGGGGGGAGGGCAAACAAAATTGCGTGGCTCTCTCGCTCTCAACTCTATCTTGGTGGCTATTTGCATAATAATGATCACTTGGTTATTCTTGTTCCTTTAGGCTTGTCTGCAGAGATGATTATCGGATTGTCACGGTTACTACGTGCCCCGGAAACAGCATATGGCATTATACGATTGGTAAGTTTCCGAATATATTACGTCTGTGACTGTCATTAAAAACATGGTTTTTGTTATATACAGTGAAACAGTTTTGTTTTTCTTCTTAATACCTGTATTGTTGTTCTGAAACTTGATACAATGAAGTTTGCTTGTATTGTTTTGAAAATTTGTCATAAAATTGTCTTTATGTATTTAGCTTGTTTGCAAATTTTTGAAAACATTTAACCAATATTAAATTATTACCTTGTTCATTTTCATCCTTGAGATTACAAAAAATTACCATAAATACAGAAAACTGTTTGCAGAGGAAATCTGGCTGTGTTGTTTAGCATTGAAACATCAGAAAAATTCAAATATTTTCTTGTTTGCATGTGATCTTTAGTGTTGATTTTTAGACTACATCATTCAGTGTCATAAGTCGAAATTTCTGATTGGCTGATAACTGTAACATATCAGTCCAAATTTCTGATTGGCTGATAACTGTAATTTATCAGTTCAAATTTCTGATTGGCTGATAACTGTAATTTATCAGTCCAAATTTCTGATTGGCTATTAACTGTAATTTATCAGTCCAGATTCCTGAATGGCTCATAACTGTAGTACATACATGTATATTGCCACTTCACATGAAATAACCTCACACTTTACATATGTTTTCATTACAGTTGAAAACAGCCATTGCTCGCTACAACAAAGACAGCAGTCTGCAAGTAACACTTAGTGCCCAGCAGTGGAAAACCCATGGATGTCATGAATTTTTGGCAGCACTCGGTGAGTAAAAATCAGCGACTGACATACGTAGCTCCATTTTGCAAAAAGGTACTCCACTACTGCCAAAATATTTCCCACAATTATTCCACGAAGTAGGTAGCACGTGGTAGACAATTGCTACTACTGACAGTAGTTGCAGGGATGTAGTGACTCACTATGTTAAGGAACTTAGTGAAGTTACTGCTACAAAATGCTGTGGCCAGAAAAAAAATGTACATGTTTCTGGTCTATGTATGGTGGTTTAAAATGGTGTGTGTCACAGATTTTTAATAAAAATTTTCGAAAAAATTAAAAAAAATTATAAACCTAATGATTTCAGAATAAAAAGCCACCCACGCCTGTCAATTTTAGAAAGCGATTTGACCAGAAACATTTTTTCAGGCTTATTTCCAAAAATGTGAAATTGAAAAGATGTTTACAGTACACAATGGTTAAAACCATATAATTATTTCCAGTATTTGGAACATAGGTCATAATTTAACATAAATTTACTTATTTTCTTACTGCAGGTTTTGATCTGATTGGATATGCAAATGATGAGGTGTTGCTACATAGTGGCAAACAAGGCAGTAAGAGAATGCTTCACTTTGCCCTGCAGTCAATGTTGGCAGTATTCGGTAAGTATATGGTTAAATTAATTTCTGATTTCAAAACCCAATTTGTATTTCCCCAAGGTGTTAAAAATTCATCTGTATTTTCTTCTTATCTATCAGATCCATCTGAAGCGCTTAAAGCACTGCCGTTGGAACCATCTTCATCCCTGGAAAGTCTTACATCATCCAAATCAGGACCCTCGATATCGGCAGTTTCTTTGTCTGCGTCCTCATTGTCTGGCATGTCTATCATATCCAGCCATTCACTGAAGGGCTCCTCGGGCATGAATCGTCAAGATGACTCTCAGAGGAGGTCATCAGGTCATTATCCAATGGAGAGATCACCGTATATGCCCACATCGCATTCCACTCCGTATGGATTATCTAGAGACGATTATGGATATTGTGCTGTTCATGGTCGACGCAATGCTAGCACGCACTCTTTGGATAGTGATATTGAATTCACACCTAAGACTTCATCTATTCTCAGTAGTACGTCCAGCTTAGAGGATGTGGTGCGCACGTCAGACCATGATAAACCGAAAAAGTATGGATCCAATGAAAAGCTTCTGGAGAAGAGTAAGACCAGGAAGGGAAGTCCGAGCAGTGGTTCAACCAATTTCGCTTTCCAAAATAATGAAGAAGAGGAGGATATCTTTGCTGGAAGTACAAGAACACGCGGTCCAAAGCCAAAAGCAAAAAAAGCTACAACTATAAGTCCCGTCGGAGGCCGTCCTCGATTAGGGTCTAGTGGGACACCTTCTCCAGTTAACCGCTCAAAAATTGGATCTGCCGGGGGACAAGACAGCATTCGTAATTCACCGAATAATCAATACTCCCCGACAACTGCAGCTCTAAGTCTTGGTGGGAATAGACCAAGTGCGTTTGTGAAACCAACTACAGCAAAGACGAGCACTACCCCAACTGGACCGGAGGCCATTGCTCTGAAAGTTCTCTGTGATACAAGGAAGCATATGGAAGCTGTGGAGATGATGCAGAGGCAGGTGTCGCCCGGTCACAATACATTGTGTATTGCAGAAGAACCGGAGATAGAGGAGAGTTCGGTCATTATTGATAATGACATTGAAATAACTGAGATGATTGATGAGGAAGATGAACAGGACAATGAGGACCTGTATTTTTCAGAGAGGTCGTCCAATGCATATGACATTACACCAACTAACAGCGAATCAGGTCGAGGCGTTAAAAAGATGAGTGTGAAACCACAGATGCAGCGCAACCGTGTTAGTGAGGATTTGTCCGATACTGATACGGCGAGTACAGTAACTGAACGGAAGGTGAATAAGCCCAGTGTCAGCAGCCAACACAGCGGGTTAACTCCACCAGATACACCACCGCCGAAGTACCAACCACCTTCTCCCGGTAAATCTAAAACAACACCTTTGAAGCCGGTGCCTCCACCCTTGAAAGCAAAACCTCCTAAATCTGTGTACCAGAAGTCATTGAAGGAGACAGAGCTGAAACATGAAGATGCCCGTCTGGAGATCCGACGTCACACTGGGTCCTCCGTTACACCCATGCGTAAAGTTAAAGCCGACCATGAAGCAGTTTCGCCACGTGAATCACCAGCAGAAGGGAAGCCAACTCAGGTACCAAAAAGTTCTTATCAGGCACCTCAACATTTAACAAATGGCCCAGCTATGAAACCAGTGAAAGCTGAACTGAAAACCTCTGCAGTGTCGCCACAGGAATACATGTCACCACCAGACTACCGGAATTCCTATAAAGGTCACCTCGACCGAAGTCCTGAATATCCCAGCTACTTGAACCGTCCAGGAAGTTCGGCTAGCACCACAAGTAGCATGTACTCCTCGACATCTTCAATTCCAAGTATTATCTACAATCCTAATGGACGTGGACCTCTCCCTGCCAACATGAGGTCAGACCAAACTGAGTTGAGACGATATGGATCACACAGTAGAGACGGTTCTTTCTCGTCTCAGAGTAGCTCTGGATCTATGAACAAGCCGAGAAGCCGACAACCTCTGCGGGCTGATATTTTGGAAGATGCTGCTTTAGTAGTTGATGCAAGTGACTTGAGTTTGCCGCCAGACATCGGCTTAGGTAATAGCGAACAAAACAATAGTCCTAACACTGCCATAACAAACAAGGGACTTAATTTTTATAAACACACGAATGGAGGACCAAATTACATGAAAGTTATGCCCACTAGTCATCAAAATGGTCCAACGAAGCCTTCGTGCAATTCACAAAAATCATCAAAAGATTCCAAATTACAATCGTCGATTTGCTGATGATAGCTGCAACTACCCCTTTGTGAAGCATGTCATTGTCCATTGCTGGTAATGGACGGACTAGTTAATGGGGACTTGTGGGTGGAAGCATTGTGAATATATAAGCATAACATTTACATATTTAAAATGTGACAGACGAGTAAAATGAACATGTGTGTATTTCAGTCACGTTTCGTGTGGGGCTATTCTACGAGCATTTACTTAGCACGTTAATCTGCTGTGGTTTGAAATTGCTAAAACTCTTCGGTTAAAAAATGGTGGATCAAACTTACAACATGCCCATACATGAAAGGGTATATCACCATTGTACTCACTATCACCTTGGAGAAGTGCTGCGCTTGAAATTACTAAAAAATTAAGCCTTATTCTTAAAATATATCTGCAGTAAATATTTATTATACAATTATATTTCTGACTCAATAATTATGCGTACATTGTTGTTCAAATGGTTGAGAGTATTGGAAGCATCCTTGCCAAACTTGTAACTCAAACCCAGTAATAAAACAAAGTGGTTCACTGCTGTGAACTACCCCCTCTAGTGGCGATACAGAGAATGGTTAACTGACCTGATCAATTTGTTTAGGTTAATCACCATGGCTATGAAAGAACAAATATTACAAAAATGACCAATTAACGAATTGAGTTTGAAATATTGAAACGCTTTATCCCTGTATATTACGAGTGTTTAAAACATTAAAATTACTAATGTATTGCCTTGTAAAAATGTTTTTATTTGCATATTTAATGTGTTTTTAGTTAACAACTATTCAACTTTGTACAAAGCCTGTTTGTGTATATCTATTTTTTGTCTGCTCTTTTAAAAACTATAATGGGTCTTCCAATCTGTATATATGAAGTGCCTTTCAAGTGAGAACAAGAACCGATACTTTCATGGATTTCTTTTTTTATCTGCTTTTGTATTGAAATCCATGACAGTCAACTTGTTATTAAGTTATTGGAGTTTTGGAAATTCTAGCAAACTTTCCTTTGTCAATCATATTCAAACCACCGAATTAATACAATTTGAAACTTTTACTTGTACCAATAGAAGTCCTTTTTTTGATTGGGATTGGTAAATATACATTCAGGATTATTCCGTTATTCAGTACAGAGAAAAGTATGCAAAACACAATATTACAATATCTTTTCTCCACTCACCACCTTATTTGGTGGTGGTGGTTATTCCATTATGAAGATAAGGGTGGGAGATGTAGCACTCAATGGAAGGGGCTGTTAGAAATTTGAGTTTAAAGGCAATTCACTATACAATCAATTTCTAGGCTCTTTGTACAAGATTCTACAGAACATATTTATTTTAACTGCAGATACTTTATCAAATCATGCATGATAGATTTGAGAGTGTATTAAACAACAATTGTGTACATAATGTAATATATTTATAACCTTGTCTGGATTTTTTTTTAAACCAGAGATTTTCATGCACTGGCAAGGACTTCCAAGTTGTTGTTTTTTTTACATAACAGTATTTTTACATATATATTATTAAAATTTGTATATATTTGCCCGAGTGATATCTCCTCATCTTGTGGTTTTTCTCACAACAAATTTAAAATATTACCATGGTGAGGAATTCTTTTTTTTTTAAATATTATTATTATGGAAATAATGATGCTGTATAACAAGTGTTTTACCTGAGATTGAAAATTTTAAATAAATTAATAAATTGTATTAAATATAATATTGTTGTGTTAATGTGTTGCTTAGAAGCCAGAGATTCCCATTACTAGCTTCATCAATCTTTGTTTTTTTCGACATGTCAGAGGTCATCATCAGAAACTCTGGGGGGGGGGGGGTATTACTATATTTTAAAAAATTGCCACATACAGCTAGTATACAATACAGCAAAACAAATTGATTCCCCCCAAAAATTTATAAATTATTTTGGAAAATCACTTTCAAATAGCCCTTTGCAGGAAATTATTTGGAAAAAATACCTGCATCAAGGTCAGTGTTGATACATACAGTAGCACTGACAATTATAGATTAAGAGGGGTTTTTTTTGAAAATTTACTCCAATTCAACAATTTTACTGTATATTGCATGTAAAAGTTACTGATAAGATTTTATTTGTGTGATTGTAATTATTACAATTAATCAACTAAAAAATGAGGTTTTGATGAAATTTCCTAAAATAAGCTATTACTTGACCAATCAACAATGCTTGAAATCCCGTTACTGGAATATAATTTCAACTCTAAAGATCAGTTAGTTGTGTGTGCTTATGTAAAAAACAGAGCTGTTTCGTTTAATGATTTTAATATACAATAAATGCAATTTAGTAAAGACTGTAATTTTACATACATTATATTTTGAAAAAAATTCAATGCTCCATAATGATAAATTATAACTTTATTTTTTAGTCCCCGTTTGGACGCAGTCCAAAAACGGAGACTTATGTTTTGACCTCCGTGTGTCCATGTGTGCGTGCGTCCGGACCTGTATCTTAGAAATGCCTGGACCAATCACAATCAAACTTCACACAGACATCATACAAGATATTATACCTATGCACGTCAATTTGTTTCATGAATGGCGGCCATTTTTGTGCTAAAAAATCCTAAAAATCAAGCATTTCTCGGCTGTTTACAGATGGATTTTGTTCAAACTTGGTTTATACATTAGACATTTTGGGACCTTGATGCAAATAATTTTGTTTTTCAGATAAGATTCAAAATGGCCGACTGGTGGCCATTTTGTTTTAATGAATGTGGTTCTCGTGCCATATCTCTGACTTGCTTTCACTGATTTTGTTCAAATTTTGAATATTCATTATACATTATGTCATAGATAGACAGATATATTGGTTTGACGATCCTATTCAAAATGGCCAAATGGTGACCATTTTTGTGCTAAAAAAAATCATCAAATATCAAGCATTTCTGGCATTTATGGATGGATTTCGTTCAAACTTGGTACATATATTAGACATTACAGGTTCCTGATGCACAACATTTATTTTTCAGATCGGATTCAAAATGGCTGTCATGCGGCCATTTTGTTTTAATGAATGGGCTTCTAGACCCATATCTCCGACTTGTTTTGACTGATTATATTCAAATTTTAAATATTCATTATACATCATGTCAGAGATAAACTGATATATTGGTTTGACGATCCTATTCAAAATGGCCGAATGGTGGTCATTTTTGTGCTAAAAAATCATCATATATCAAGCATTTCTGGATGGATTTCGTTCAAACTTGGTACATATATTAGACATTACGGGTTCCTGTTGCACGTCATTTTATTTTTCAGATTGGATTTAAAATAGCTGACTGACTGCCATTTTGCTTTAATGATTGGGGTTCTAGAGCTATATGCTTTGACTGATTATATTCAAATTTTATATATTCGTTATACATCATGTTATAAATATACATGTATTCAAAATGGCTGATTTTGAATGCTTTTCCAGAGCAATATCTCTCAATATGGACAAGTACTTGTTCATTATAATTCAATACAAATAGATAATATTCAAGTCTGCTTTTACCAGCATTTTGGTTTAAGCAGGTCATTTCATTTGAGTCTATATAATGCAACAAACTTGTTAATTTTATTGATTTTTTACACAATAATCAACCAAAATGGACAAATATTATGTGCCTGTCTTTTATTTCAATATTTATTTTCTGGCAATACTAGAAATATTGCACAGTGTACCTTTAATATTAATAAGAGACTACTGTACATTAGATTTGCATCAAGCATCATTTGCAATCACCTGCATGCTTAACGTTTAAAAAAAAAATATTGCATTGTTTTGAGAATTACCCGGTATGTGCATATCACTGACCTGATTGATTTTGGACGGTAGTTATTCAATAAACTATTCTGTGATCCCGTAAATTTAAAACTATCACTGTGACATTACATAGTCAAGAGTTGATTACTGAAGTGTCGCTTTGATCACTATGGTTTAAAATATGACAAATCATATGTATATATTACTAATTAAAATTGCATCAGTCGATTATATTGATAAACCATATAATACGTCTTGTATGTTATTGTCAGAAGGCGTATAATAAACTCAAAATGCCCTATTAAAATTAATTCCTCTATTCATCCAGTTGAATTAACTTATGATATTCGCACTGAATACTACCATTGAATGGATTATTAGATAAAAACAAATTAGGTTCATTCTGTCTGATACAAGTCCTTTTAGGATATTAGTTTTTGTTACCAAAAGATCCCTACAGACCAATTTCCGTCTTTTTATCCAAGACCAAAAAAATTATATCTGTCTCTGGTTAGCATGTGCATCAGTTCCAAAAGCCACGCTCAGAATTGTTTTTTTATTTGAAACAAAGGGAAGGATTTGTGCCTGCTGTTGGTGGCGCAATATCTTGTTCATATTCGCAGATCAACTTTCTTGATATTTAAAAAAGAAAAAGAAATCGTCATCTAACTGTAAGGCCGTCGCTGATTGGCTGCTGAGCTGGAATGCCAATTTTTAGTTTTAAATACCCCAGGAAAGTGTTCTATGTTCTTCGTGTAATTAGGTGCTCGTATTTAAGGGATTTTTCCACACAAAAACGTCGAATTCAGCCAAGTTATTGGTGGGCTTAATATTACCCCCAACGGATTTATTATCACGCGTGCGCCAGCTGAATGTGCTTGGAACCACAAACAGATCTTTTTTTTTTGGCCTAACATAATTGTACAGAGAACATTATTCATATAATCTTAACTTGTCCTTGTACCACCCTAGTCAGACTTGGGTTTAATTCCAACAAGACGCTTTCCAATTAACTTAAAGAGTTCAAAGGTTATCACTATGACGAATTCAGGTTTCAAGAGATGAATTTTTGGAACTCTTCCTGTCATTATGTCGGCCCATCTTGCCAAAAACTTGTCACCTGCCAAAAATAAAAAGTTTCAAATGTTGAAAAATTGTAGATTACATTGAGGACACACCAAAAAATGTTTTGTTTCTCACCATTGTGCACATCCGTTTGAAACCTGTATCTCCAACATTTTTTTCAGTAATTTCACATAACAGTGTGCCACATGGGAAATGTTTGTTTTCTGTTTCAGAGAATAATCGGTCATCGTGGTTATTATATGACCTATTTTTGCAAAATGTCATCTTGCAAACTCCAAAACAAACAAAAATACTTTGTGAAATGTTACAAGTGCAGAATCTAAGAAGCAAGTTATTTTAATATTATTTTTTTTTTCATTTTAATTGTTTCATTTATTTTTTTTATTTTTTAGCAACCATTATCTTGGATATAGCTCAAAAAGTATTTCTCTACACAGTTAATATGTCTAAAGTGAACCCTGTCTAAAGCTAATTTATAAAAAAAAAAGTTACCTTTTCTACTAACTGCAGCAGTGGCTGCATCCAAGAGAATTGGGAAGCGATACAATAATTTACAAATCCAATTTGACCTGCAAAAAAAAACAAAATCAAATTATATCATGACTGTAGAGGGCATAATTCAAGAGAAACTGCAATTTCATTTAAAATGGGAAGTTCTCAAGCTGTCATGAGCAATTAAAATTAATTATTAAAATTCTTACCAAACAAAGTCATGACCAAATTGTTTCATCCATCTTTCATGGTAAATTTTCATCATATCGTTGTCATAGTTACCATGCAACAGAGCTTCATCAAGGAAATTAGCAGCGATTTTCCCACCATCCATTGCATGGTGAATTCCTTCACCTGGGATAAAAAAAATTGAACTATACCCATAAATAATTTTTTTTGCAGAAAGCCAAATTAGAAAATGCTGAACCAGAGTAAAAAACGTAACATTTTCATTCACGTGATTGAAAAACAACAAATGAAGTCAACTTAGAAATGAGTCGTACACAAAGATGAAACATAGCACAACTGATGTAACCTTGCCTGTGGTTTATTGTGTGCTTGCTTAAAGCGGGAGGGACGTCACCTGCGAACGTGTGAACGTCCCAAGCAGCAATAACAACACACGCTAAAAACGCAAAGGCTCATGGGTAGACGCTTGTTTGTAAGCAATGACATGCTATGGCCACTTGACGCATGCGTAGGTGACGCCTCCCCCGCTTTAAGCAACATGAAACCCTGAAACTGATGAATACGAAAAAAAACACTGAGTTTTTTGTAAATGATGCATCGAAATTTGCTATCACAAATCTGAATTTGCCAAAATAAAAATATCGGTATTTTTTGTAAATGATAATGCAACAATTTCACTACAATGCTCCTTTGGAATAGAAGTGCACATAAAACAAATTGCGTCTACTGAACGATACAAAGATACACTGATTTAGAGAAAACAAGACTGGCTGAAAAAAAGAACTGCACTCGTGACAGATGCCATAGCATTGAATTACTCTATAATTATGGAAAATTAGTTGAGAGCCTTCATTCGAATATAATTAACATGAAAACAATAGAACAATGGTGTACATTTCTGTTACACCAAAACAACTTTCTACAAAGGGGGAGACAGAAAGAATTTTACATAAAACTAAATAAAGTAAAAAATTTAGCTATATACAGAAAACAGGAGCTTGTCATGTCAGTCTAATGCTCTCATTGCAGGATTTTTCCCAATGCAAGTCTGCTATCCAGGCAAAGATGGCTGCTTATAAAAGAAGTAAGCTTTTATTTCAAAGCCCGCAATATAGCTGAAAGTTGACTATATCACAATTTGACTATATCACATTCTCCACATTCTCTGTGCGAGTCAGTACAGTGAAAATGAAAGAGCTGAAATTGTATTTTGGTGCTACCCATGATGCTCTGTGTTGCTAGGCAATCAATGGTTGTACCATTAAAAATTTCATGTGAATGCAGTGATTATACTAGTATTTGTCTAAAATTAGAAATCTAACGACAGAATAGTGGTAGTAATTGGCTGCAGTGATGATGTATATTAATCTATGTACAATATGATAAAAGCTAAAAATAAACTGGGGACATATCTTAAAAAAAACACAATTTTGACGGATTTAACGTCCGATGTAATGTTTCTCAAATAAATTCAGAATATTCGCCGAATATTCAAACATTTATTGCCAAGCACTGATAAAAATATAATAAAACCTGTGGAAGAATTTATACACACAGATTTCTTAGTAAAAAAAAAGAGAACAAAATATGTAATCGTATCCACATTTGTGCAGAACTCATTATATTATTCATTGTTGCTATAAACTGATAGATACGTCTGTTTGTAAAAAATGCAATTATTATTACCCGTCATGGGGTCGATCATTCCCGCAGCGTCTCCAACTAGGATTACATGATCACTGTAAGATACTGGTTCTCCTCCCAATCTCAGACTGGCTGGAAAATGAAAAAAAAATTAAGAAAAACAAAGTCAATGTATGCAATTTTATTTTTACTGGAATATGCACCTAATTTATATTCAAGCGCTTCGTGTTGTTCTCATTTAGAACACTGTTGCAAGTCTAACAATGTCCCGGGGAATGATGCGGGTTGATCTACATATTGTCTTTATTGGCATAATATTTTCATTATGATGTAAAGCGAGGGAGTCGTCACCTGCGCATGCGTCAGGTGGCCATAGCGTGTCATTGTTTACAAACAAGTGTCTACCTATGAGCCTTTGCATTTTTAGCGTGTGATGTTGTCGTTAATTTGGACTCAATTCTCATGCGTGCGCAGATGATGACCCTCTCGCTTTAAAGCACACATTTTCTGTCTGCATATCTCCTAGTAACCAGCAACACACAAATAAACATATAGCTTGCTAGAAGAGCTGCTGTGATGCTGATTGGTCAGAATACTGCTCTAATGATGCACATGGAACTCTATGAAAAGGTTAATTGAATCTCGGTTACAAATAATTCGATTGTCAAAATGCTATTATTTGCAGTGATTTGTGATCTCGTGATATTACGGCCGGATAATGCACACCATTGCAATTGATTAATAATGCATGTATTGATTATCTATTATTGATCATCTACTATTGAGTGAGAAAGTGGTCTAAATTATTGATATCTAGTTTGTAATTGGTTCAGTGTAGAATAGAAAATAGTATATTGTTATATATTGTTTTTTGCACTTAATGAATTGGCAGAGAGCAGTGACTCTTGACAAAATTACGGCAAATGATCTATGAACTCTTTGCTGCCATATGTATGTACTTTGTATTCAAAGAAGAATTATAAGGAGGTCTGCGCAGACAAAATTAAAAAAAAAAAACAGGAAGATAGAGAAAAACATTATGAAAAATGTAAAAAACTTTTTTAATGATCAAGTCCTTAAAGACCCTCTCCCCCAAATCGGTTTTGCTCATCAGTTTAAAACCTGTGATCTCACTTTTTTTTTGACAATTTGCATACTGGTAATGTACACTGTTTTTTGTATCAGAGAATGTTTTGTTGATTTAATCTTCAAAACAGGTATTTGAAATCATTATTTTTTAAATATTAAAAATTTAAATAATCATTATACAAAACAAAAATTTAAAAAAACAAAAAAAGTCGTATTTCTAATGGCAGTCGCATCCATTCTGTTTGAATAATTGAGAACCAAAAATTCATCATTTCTCATATGTGTAGATGCTCTAATAGAATCCGCATCCCCTCTGTTGTATTGTACTATTTTAATAGAAGCCGTGGCTTTTAATACAGATTTCACAGTAAAACTGTGCCACCGCATCATTTATCAATTTTTCCAAAGTAAAACCATTTCTTTTGTGGCCTAAGGGAGGGTTTGTGATATAAACTCATTGTGACACCAACATATAATGAAATTTCATATTTTATGTACTTTCTGTACATCATATCATCAGGGCCCTTTATAAAATGATACAATGATCAACAGTTCCATAATCCCGATATAATTCCCAATTTTTTCTTTCTGGTTAACATTTTAAAATAATCAATTATGCATATTCATCTGGAATTACAATAGCTTAAAATGGCAGATGCCTCTTGGCGGCAAAACTAGTACATTTTCCAATTACCATGACAACAGTATCTTGTCGAGATGAAGTGGCACAATCACAGTTTATATCTTAAAAAATGTTAACTATAAAAGAAAAAAGTGATTAAACTAATCAAATTAATTAAACTAATTATTTTAATTAACTTAGCGCACTACCACAACATTTGCATACTAAATACCTTACCAGCTTTCATTCTCTCAATCTTGAAGTTTTTGCCGAGAGCTCGACTGATGTTTGGATCCTTCGTTTTTAAGTATTCATGCCAGTGCGGTAGATCGTCATTGGTTACCTTTGGATTACCAGGTATTATGTAAACACAGTAGTTAAGCTCATCTCCATGGTGACGAAACAGAGCTGCATAGCCTTAAGGAACAATAGATATTAAATGAATTTCCTTGGAATATTTAAATTAAGTCATATTAATAATCTTCTATAAGAAAAAATGTATCCATTACATGATTTCATTTTGTTTTAAATAGCCATATAAAAGCTATAAGAATAGAAGATATTGTGGAAAATAAAATCATATGGATAAAAACAAAATTTACTGCATATTAACGTAAAAGAATTGACAAAATGGGAAAAGAAAAATATTTGCAGAAATCGAAATTCCTCAAAGCTTTCGCCCCGCCTCAATTTGTGGGATGAGTTACTCTACTAAATATTAGGTGAAAAACCTTACCAGGTAAGAGTCCACGGTTATAAAACACCACACCATCGGCTTTGAATTTATGTGTGCCAGGTTCTACATATGATCTGCTGCAAGTGCCACCAGGAGGAGTCTTCACAAGACCTAAACTCCGTCCTAATGTGGACGGTGCACCATCCGCGCACACTAAAACTCGGGCCTTGTAGGTGATGCCAACACCTTCAAGGCTTATGGTCCACAGGCCTTGTTTCTTGTCAAAAACTGCTTTGGAAACTGAACAGTTTTCCCGTAGATGAACACCTGCCCTATACAGGAAAAAAGAGAAAAGTAAATTATGTAAATCTTTCAGACGAAAAATAAAAATGTTTCCATTAAATTGTTTTCTGAATTTCTTACAGACACATACTTATTTTAAAATTGTTTTAAAAATTTTTATTTTTATTTTGAGGTTCCCAAAAACTTTTAACTGATAACTGGAATCATTATTGTTTTCTTCATATGATAATTCCTTCTGTCCATTATTTGCTCATTCTTTTCCTGTCTTCTTCCATTCCTCCTTCATCACTTTACTATAAACTCATTATGACTACAATTTAAATCATCACTTTATGAACTCATCATCCAACATCTCACAAACGTCTTTTTTTAAAACGGATTTCATAATACTGTAAAATACTTTCGCTTGGAACTAATTTTCTCTATTTTCGCTGAAGGAATGATTCAGTGAAAATAAAATCTAGCGAATATACTTTTTTTCCTATATTTTACATTCAACTCGTCAAAAACCAGTGAAAATAAATTTCATACGAAACACCAAAAAGTGAAAATTAATTCCAGCTAAAATAAAGTAGGTAAATAGATTTGACTGATTTTCTTTCAGCTATTTTTTACTTTCCAGCAATATATTATTATCATTGGTATTATTAGTATGATTATTAATATTATTGAATTACAATGTAAATTAATAGCTTTAAATTATTGTATATATTATATGATAAATAAACTTATTATAAAACCAAGGTCAAATTTTTTAAGCTTAAACAAAATAATCCTGCAAAAATTTCCACATTTATTCAAAATTTTTTAACAAACCATGAAATTATCAAATAATGGTAAATTATGTGATTGTTCATTAAATTAAAAATGATCAGAACATGACTACTTACAGTCTACAGAGCATGATACAATATTATAATCAACGCATCAAATTTCATCAGATAGATGAAATTACTTTACCTTTTTGCTGCCATGGCGATAGCATTGTCGAGATTTATCCTTTTACACGCTATGGCTGCAGGAATTTCACCTAACATTTCTTTACTTCGTCCAACGTAACTCAGACCTCCTGGGCTGCAAAGACCGCCGTTATCAGCCTTTTAATATTGGAAACGAATACAGAGAACAAGAATGAAAATACATATTAACTATTTCTTTTCATTGTCGCCAATGCCATGCTCGGTATGGGTCAAAATTGACAAAATTTTGAAAATGCTGCAATTCTTCAAATTTTATAACTATTGAAAACAATTTAAAAATTGACTATAATACACTCATTTTAGCCCATTCTGATACTGAGAAAAAATCTATAGATGTTTTACAATCCTTGTAGATGTAGATATTAGGTTCTCAGACAGGATTTTTAACAACAACATTTTTCCCCAATCCCCAAATTATGTATGTTTGAGAAACAACTCAGAATGCATAGAATTAGGAGTTATAAAGGCATAGATACGATCCAGAACAGTCAAGTGGAACATTTTGTTTACCACATAACAAATCTCTCTTCTATGAATTATTGAAAACTTGGTCCTAGTACATATTGGTAGAACTTTTTTTATGATGAGAATGAACGCCAGTTACAAGGAATAACCGAACTCGCACCTTTCATTTATTTAAAGGGCGGTAGTCGTCGCACCACGCATGCGCGAGATATATGGGTCTCATATAAACAACTTGAAAGATGGCGACTTTGGCTATTTACACAGATCAGCGAGTACAAACTGAGACGTTACCAAGCTTTAATTAAGTATTTTAAGTGATTAGAAGGTATTGAAGGAGTCACCGCCGGTTATAGTGCAAGTCGCGCCCAGGTCAAACCTCATACTTGTGATTTCCATTAGAAGAGCGCATTGGATTGTGGGGAAATCAATGTTTATCAACACAAATGTCGCACATGCGCAGCGCGTCGACTACCTCCCTCGAAGCTCTAATTGGTTGAAATGGAACTATCAATTGACAAGTCGATACGTGTTCCATGTGATGTATACATATTTGTTTATATAACATAGAGAGTGGCCGTCGTCGTCGGTTTTGTAGCAAGTAAAATGCAATGTTCACACAAAATTTGACCACATCGTTTAATGTTCTTACCACATGAGCTTTCTTTTCTTCTAGCAACTGTTGATACACACCCATGTCAATAAGTATTTCTATAGCAGTCTTACACACTGCATCGCCGCAGTACTTATCACGTGGGAACTTCTTTTTCTCAAGCAGTAAACAATTCCAACCTTTTTTGGCAAGGTAGTAACCAGCAGTTGATCCAGCTGGACCAGCTCCAACGATAGCAACATGGTAGAAAAATGTCTTTTTCTGTTATAAAAATAAAGATTTGCTAATTTTAGTGCCATTTTAATTCTGTGGTTATTGTATTCAGAAGTAAATAAATCCAATACCACCTATTGGTTTATTTTTAATTTTATGATAATTTTATGCAGAAGTAAATAAATCTAATACCTGATATTGGTTTTAACAGGGGGATACAATTTGGATTAGAAACGTTCGGTGAGAACATTTTTGGGTAGAAGAGGCAGCTGCTATCTAATATTTATATTTTATGAGTTGTTTACAAATATTGGAACATAATATATATTTATGAACAGATATGAAACCGGACGGTGCTCAAACATGGCGACTATACGACCAAAAACTTACTGTTGATTGGCTTTTGCGTGCATGAAACCGGTCAGCCAATCAGAAACTTGTATATACACACAATGTACTATAAATCTCACTTTCTTCCAAATCGCATAGGTTTCTGTTCGGTGACTGCATTCCCTTGACTCGTGAACTTAATAATTCCTAACCGAGCTGCAACGTGAGCACCGTGACTTACCTTGTTGGCATCGCTTGGATATTTACGTGGGAAGCTTTTCACTGTTTTCTGCAAAAGTCTCCCGAGTGCATATCTTACTATCAGCAAGGCCACGCAAAATAATGCACCTGCATAGACTGGGTGACTGAGAACTAACTCTAAAACTGTGTTCATTTTTTCCCCTTCTTTTCAGTTATCGACACGTATTTTCTGATGGACCGACTGAGGGATAGACCTTTGAGTTTCAACTTTTGAACCAGGTCCACAATCTCATTGTTTTATTTTACTTATACACGTGGCGCCCGGGAAGTACAGGCGCAGTGGACTGCAAACCCACTCTCAATCTCTCCTTATGGAGAGACGATTTGAGTATGGCTGATAAAATCTAGCTAGAAAAATAAAATAATAGTTTATAGATCAGCTTAGATAACCATTTAGTGTAAAAATATTGCTTTTACCGTAAATCGGGGTATTTACTACTGATGATTAAATCACATAAACATCATGGGTAAAACATTAACAACGGTCAGGTGATAAACCCAGTCAGGTGTCCCCGATCAGATAGGAAAACAGTTTAGCATGTTTCGGGCTATTTTTTCAGCACAATCTTTCAATATTCACAAATATGACTCAAGTATACATGCATAAAATTTTGTAAACTAAGGACTGACACAAGGGTTGCATGAACGCAACGTCCGGGGGGTTACTCACCTGGGTTTTTGGTGTGAGTGTTCCACGGCCAGTTGAAAAGTATACCCAAAACGATCGATGTTGAGGTGGCTATTCGGCTAAAGATCAAAACAGCGACACATACCTGTGTATTTCACCAATGGGACAGCCCCGGAACGCAATACTAGCATATCATTATTACACCACTTCAGGTCAATACACAGACCCGTAGTTTGTTTGTTTGTTTTTTTTTGTTTGTTTTTTTTTGGGGGGGGGTCAGTCGAACCCCCTAAATTTCGGAAGTCAATACAATTATGATCGTAGATTAGAACATATTAAAACAAACAGTATTATTTAAAATAATTATTATCGTTTAAATCAATTGACTCATTGAGGTAACTTTCAGACTCAGCCGAAATTGCACAGTAATGAGCATTTTGGTGGCAACGAGTTTTTAAATGCCAATCGCGAAGTTACGCCGTCTCAGCTAAACATCAACCATAGTTGTTATATTTGGCAAGCTTTTATTCCGCGATGGTGTAATGAAGATCGCGTTCAAGCAGCTGATGTCAAATATTAAAACGGGTAACCATACTTATACAATATTTAAACAATAATATAATGGTGTTCACTCTCTGAAAGATGTGGCGGCCCTGAAAAAAAAGCCGTTTGTCTTATGCTAGTGTTCGCTCAGTTAGTAAAGTGTGGGGATCGAACGGGATTGATCGGTCCCGTAATTTTTCCAGCACAACACGACACTGAACTTTCCTAGTTTGGTTCATTAGTTTTGTATTCTTCAAGTTAATGATGGCATATACAGTATTTGTTTTCCAAGTGTGTCAGCCAAATGTAGTGAACTTATTGTATTAGTACGTGCAGCCTGTGTTAGTGTACAGCTACGGGTTGTACAGATCATTCAAAAAATGCCGAAGATTTATCATCACGAGTTGTATGGGTCGAATAAGTTTCTTGCAGTCAAAAATTTACCCCAGAGTGTTGCTTCAGCACTGAAACTATGCGATGAATCATATAATGTACTTTTCAAACATATTTGTTTTACTACAAAAACTGCGACAAGCTGCAATTGTGAGCACAGCTTATCTGCATTGAGAAGGCTGAATACATATTATATAGGGCAAAGGAGTTTGACATCTCTAGCTTTGCTGCAAATTCATCGAGAAATCGATATTAATCGTGCTGTGGATACGTTCGCAAAGTTACATCCAAGGAGCATAACTTGGGTGATATGCCAAAGTCTGCGTTATTAGAGTAGTGTGTTACACAAACTATTGTCAATTTCTTCATTTTTACATGAATGATATATCATGTAAAATAATTATGTTACAAAAATGAAATAAAAACATGTTTTGTCTGTTTTAGGGCATATTACTATAATTATTTTATATGGCAAGCATATATCCCAATATCTCACAATTTTTCCCCGTAACATATGGTGAAAAAGATATATATATAGTCCTGAGACGTTTTTTTTTTATTTCTTAGAAAATTTACTTTATTTTTAGGGGGTTGATAAAAAGGAGATGTAGTCATTGTAATCTACGGAGACTGCTGCTAAACTACCACTACCACTGACGAGATGAATATGAATCTAGCTTAACTTAGTACCATATGTTTACATGGATGTTGTATTGTTTTTAAAACGTGTTATGCACTTTTCTATCCATTACATCTTGTACGATGGGCGGAGGCCCTTTACTGAAATAAATAATGATAAATTACATAATAATAAATTCACTAATACTAAAATGAATAATTGTAGACAGATTTCGACATGAAATTGTGTCACTGCTATGTAATCGAAAAAACTCGTGAGTAGCATTCTACCTGAAAATACAAAGACAATAATGCTAAGATACGTACAATCTTGTATTTTTTTGTGTACAACAATTGCCGTAGTGAATCTATAGTGTTTGCGTGTATTTGTATGTTGATGGGGAATGGCTCAGGAACCCCTGCTCTAGTAAAATGGTGAAATAGTTCAAAGATGTTATGTGAATTAACTTACCAACGTAACACAAAGTAAGTCAATTGAATTGAAAACAGAGAATATAAAAATGTCTGCAACAGAGCTCTTAGATACCAAAGAATACACATTTTTTTTCATTTTGAAAATTAAAAAAATCACACATTTCACATCAAATATATTATTATTGTTTTTGAACCCCTTATTCAAAAGTGCTGGCTACGGGCCTGATACAGCTAACACTATTCAACTATCCAAGTGTCTACAGAACCATGAAATTACATGATACACATTTACACGTGTTACAACATGACTTGGTTTTCAAGTTCAAGTGATTACTATTTTCACAAATTGTCGAACACGCGCTGCGCGACGACCCTCTCTCTTTAATAAACTCACCAACATAGTGTAACTAGTTGATGTAAATGACTGGATATACTGTGTTGAAATAACTACATGCCATTTTAGAGAATTTGACTCAATGAATAAATTAACATAGTTTCAACTTAGCTGAAGTGCCAACAATCTCATCGTGAAAATATATACCTTGATTTGAATTAACGAAGTTACGGATTAACTAAACTGGAAAAAACAACATGCTACCTAAAAAGACATATTTTACTGTTGTGTGTTTTAAGTACGCTTGCTGTTCACACCTATAAATCGTACACACAACAACATGGTTTATTGTTGTAAAAACGTGTATATATTATTGCCTCATTCATTAGTTTATAACATACGCTGTAACTTATGGCGTTACGGTGACAGATGTATAAAAATTATTATAAGTTACAGCGTGCCGTAATTTTGCGGTATTTTACGAGGTATTTTCATCTTACCATGTTGAGAAATGCAAATTCCAAATATGGAATGATTACGCGCGTAAGCGTCCTCTGATAATAAAAACAAACATGTCTGCCACCAGGGTTTGACCGGACTCCACCAAAAAAGTTCGCTGATTCTGTTAAATATTTATTATCACATCGAATCTTTGATTAATACTTCTCGACTCATTGGAAGATGTTTTGAAATGCTCATGATTTATTCAAGTTAAATCTATGTCAACATTAAACTCTCATTCGATAATCTAGATGAAGAGGGATGTAAATTTCAAGTCTATTTTGTATCATTGCTCATTATTGCTTCATAACTACATTGTACATCCGGGGTATTAATTAACGAGTCTCCGTGTATTTTATAATGCTCCCACGGTACTGTCATTATTTCGTGGGGTGGGACATGAATGCAGGTACCAATAATGGCCAATAATTCACCTCAGTGACAGGAAGTGTATTCCTAGAGCACCACATTCATATCTACTGGAAGTCATTTTAAACTAGTATATGACGATGATTTAGAAAAGATTCACATCTATGGCTGGACAGAACAGAACAAAACAAAACATTTGATATGTATTAAACTGATAAAAACTTTTTCACATAAAACAATTCATAATAATAAGTTTATCACAATTCGTAATTAATTTTGTTTTGATAAAAAAACGATGTCGCAAATAGTTGTGCATAAATATAATGATACACGACATTTTGAACAGCGACCAGCATGTATATCTACTAGTAGAAATAGTCATCTTTACAATACACTGTATACTAATTTGAACGAAAAATACGCTGTTTCTTAAGGCAACATATAATACTAGCTCATGCAAAAATAACGCTAAGTAATTATATTTTCGTGGTTGGGCACAGCAATGGCCCAGGGAGCTATTCGAGATTGCGACTGCTCCTAATTCTTCTTGGCCTTTGGTATTTGCAGATCTGCCATTTTGTTCAAATGGAAAAAAATATGAAAGTATTGACAAGTTACGGATAGCCTTAATTGATATACATACCTAATCATCTTATGTAATCATCTCAATCGCTTGAAATTCAAAGAAACATTTTTTCAGCTTTTTAAAAAACATCTGATATATTAAATATATTTCTCTCTCAAAAAATGCTAAAGAGGCTCACTCCTCTCTTGTAGGCATCATAGAGACACACCCCTGGCTCATAAAAATGGTAAAAAAACATATCCCTCTCTCTTATATTAATCGTTCTCTCATGGAAATGGTGAAAAGACACACCTCTCTCTCGTAAAATGGTAGGGAGATGTAAGTTTCTTGCTTATAAATGGTAAAGCGACATATTCTTCTCTTCTGGGAATTGTCATGAAACATACAACCCACTAATAGAAATAGCGGTTAAATGCACATTCTAGTTCCTCTAAAGTAAGAATGTTTGCGCACCTCTCGCATAGATTCAAATCTGAATCTGTAAATAAGTGAGGGAAAAGGGAATTCTGAAAACAGTTAAATGAAGACACACATGCTCTATTTCATTAAACATTCTGAGACTCGTCATATAACGTGAATCGGGAAATGTTCTGTTATGATGGATGTACTAGTATCTGTGATGCAATTGATTCAAACCAATATGCTGTTTTCTGCGACCAATACAAATGAATGAGTTTTTCATTATTACTCGTACAAAATCATAGCAATGTACAGATCATGTACCAC